TATATATATATATATATATATATATATATATATATATATACATGATACACCAAATTTCCTGATGCCGCGTTTAGTCGTTCGCAAGAAACTGTCGGAAAATCCGGATACGGTAGAAACTCTCGGAACACAAATAAACTGAGTTTGAAGCGAGAAGAATAAAACAAGCCTCGTATTTGACTCACAGTTACTTGTGAGTAGTGTGTGGGATAATTGAGCTGATTGGCACAGTGGCAAAACACACACGCCTTCCATGCCATGGGTCCGGAGTTCAAATCCCGAAAGGTGGTACTGTGGATATGTACTACTGATGAGCTCTAATGCAATAGCAAAACTCGAGTTTAATGCCTCCGAGTGTATGGTTGAATCGATGAACTGAGGATTGTGTGTGAATGTAAAATCCAAAGGGTAGTCAGTCGGATCAATCAATAGAACATGAAGGTAAGATCATTTATTAATCGATATTCTGCATCAAGGTGTGAGTTTATGTAAAGCCGGGTGCAACGCCTAAAACATTCTGACAACGCCTATTCATGAATTTTTAAAAAAAATCATGAGAAATGTATATGACTTACATGTTTCACTAACTGAATCTCACAGGTTCGTCGGTATCTTTCTTCTGAAAAATCTTCGTCGGGAAATCGAGTGCTGAAATTAATGGGGTATTCCAACAAGTGATCGATTGGCCAGGCATCATCTCCGTTCCTAGTTGAAATGTGTGCAAGCAAATGTTCTGTGGAATGAAAGTGCTTAAACCGATCGAGACGGAACGTCATTCCACAAGGAGTATAAGTGTTTTCATGAAAATACACGAAACCCGATTCACTGAGCCGATCTTACTATGCAGATAGATACTGGACAATCGCACTGAATTGTCCCTGATCTAACGGGGAATATTGATCACAGGATTGGTCACCCGTTGAGTTTTGGTTCGTGCTGACGTGTGCCTATTGTTGATTGGTGCATGTGACGCATAAGCCAATCGTCTCATGTCTGTCTATCTGTCTATCGATCGATTGATCGATCGATTCATGCGGACTGTTAGACCAAGCATTTGTCGATAGGGAATTTGGGGTGGCAGTTTGAATTGAACGCGCGGTTTAGTTATTTGGCAGAAATGCATGCTATCTGCGTGAAATAAATTTTAGTTTTTTTTCTAGACGGGGTTGATCAAATTTATGGAATCATATTTTAATTGCATTCTATGATTTGATTCTCGTGCGTGAGACACTTTTGTAGCATCAGAAGGACGAATGCACAAAAAAAACAGAACAATAGTCTTGTTTCATTGCAACTGGTCGAAATTTCTTCACTGACCTCGTCTAATATTTTAGCATGATTTCTCTCATTTTATCTCAAATCCACCAAGCGAATAGTATTCTGTGAAATGTTAGATTCTTATCTTGGACAGGAGGACCAGATTCACACATCGGCATCTTTCGATAGCGGTACTGTGTTATCTAATGCGGTCTCATACATGTCGGATAACAACCAAATTTCAATCGTCCCCGTGTCCCCTGGTTGTACGAATTCAGTTCTTTGAACTTAATCAACTTTTTCGTATAGCAGCCGGTCTTATCACCAGTACCATCTCGGGAGCTATTGCGCATCATGAAATAGTTCCTGAATGATAAAGGTACAGTCAACCTCCTGCTATGTTGCACTCCTCGGAAATTCGATAAAGTGGGTAAATTTCAGGAACTGCGGCATAGCAGGGTAAACGGTAGTCGGTGCTAACAAGTGTAGTATAAATATCGGTTGACAGTTTTGTGACAAAATAAACTGGATCGATGAAAAGTAGACTAATCCCGTTAGTTGTTCCCAATAGTTATGATTATAAACTGTTTATGTATAACGGAATTTAAATCTACCGTCCTGCGTATCCTGTATGTATCGCAGAAATTGAAATATTTTATGACGCCCTCAGCCTATTATCGGTACGTTGCATCTGGTATTCAGCCCTTTTCAGTTCTTTGTGTCTAATTATCCCGAATCTACCTACCTTTCTTTAGGGGAACTTTTTCTGACCCAATTATACCATAATAATTCCACATATTCCTCCATTCCGTTGCAACGTTAGGCTGACCACAGAATTGATTAAATGACTTCCACCATAATACACAACTGTTTTAGCTATAATAGTCACATCATTTTTAATCCATTCAAGGAAGTTAAGGAAGTTCAAGGAAAGTTAAACCAGTTCGAATACAGTGATAAGGCAATAACATCTAAAATGAGTGAAAAATCTGTTACGGGGTATACTCATAACATTGATTTCCTCCCATATTCAAACTGATTGTTCGTTGTGCAATCTATTCATGATTTTCTATTGAAAAATGTATATCATTAACGTCTGTAGACATCTATTCGTTCGTTCGCTTCTGTTGTTACCTGTGTATGTTCAAACCGATTGATGCATTCGTCATGACCGTTGTTGGTCGGACTACGTTCAACTAGTACTGCCCTAACGTGATTCATAAGCCACACCTTTTTTCAGTCTAAAATGTCATGTTGCTGTGTAGCTAGTACGGTAGTCCGACTACTCACTCCATCGGTTCACATTGTTTTCTACTTTTTTTGTGATCCGAGCATTAGCCAAGGCAAACAGTTTCAATTGATCCAATAACTTCTGCGCCTCTCTGATTGAGCTAACCTTCCGGGGCATTCGCTGCCTCGCATTCATCTTCTTCTTTGCAATGCTTAGCTTGATGCGAAACGAATTCATCTAATGACTAAAAAGAGACTTGATACAAAAATTTTAAATAACCCACTTCTTCATCATCATCTTCGAAACAGGCGATTTCTTCTTCAAAAAGACGGTCATCAGTAGACGTATAATGTGTAAGGTCCTCGATCAGATCGCATTTATCCTCTGGTGGCTGCATCACCGGCTGAATCAATGTGGATTTGAACCCTGCTTTCATGAAAGCGTTGATCAGTACGTGTGGGTGTACAGACACCCAAGCTTTCTTGATCAGATGCATGGCCATGAGAATGTCCACCTCGGCTTTCATGATACATTTCTCATCTTCGATCAAAGATGAAACATATTCCAGTAAATGTTTCCGAAACGAACATTTGAAAGACCAAATCACGCCCTGATCCATGGGTTGTAACATCGAAGAACAATTCGGAGGCAGCCGTACCAATTTGACGTTGGAAAATACTGCGGCTTGGTTATGGCAAGGGGCGTTGTCCATAAATAGTAAAATAGATCGTCTCTGAGAAACCATTTTGCGGTTGACATCGAACAGCCATGCGTTCTTTGAAGAATTATAACTACATGGAAGGCTTTTTCTATCTACACCTCGGAGGCATCGCGAAGTTTGAAACTTTCCGATCACCAAGGGTGATAACTTTTCTCCAGTCAAGCTCCCACAAAGCAGTAACGTGACTCTCTCTTTGGATTTCTTGGACCCAGAAACTGTCTTTCCTTCCTGACTTAATGTTCTTTCTGGGAGCTGCCTGTAATACAAAGTTGTTTCAGTTACATTGAAAATATCACAGTCAGCATATCCTTGTATTAACTGCGGTAACCTCTCCCGAAACTCATCCACTGCATCACGTGATACCGCATAACTTTCCCCATAGATCTATAAAGTAATGTGCATGAATTGCTTGTTTCTTACTTTGTACGACCGGATCCCATATCTGTTTGACCAAGAGCGAAACCAACCTTTGGAAGCCTTGAAGTCATTATGATGCAATCTTTGTGCTAGCTGGGTTGCCTTCTTACGTACGATGCTCTCCATCATTGGGAACTCTCCGTGCTTTTCCCTCATAGCGGTAAACCAAGCCAAAGTTGCGTCATTCACTACCTTTTCATTGGTTTTCAGGTGGCATCTTTCCTCAGATGCACCAGAATTCAAAAATCTCCCCGATAGTCGTTCGATGGGATACAATATTGTAGACAGTTTTCCGTGAAATTCCAAATGGAGCTCTGAATTGCACCTGGCTGTTTCAGCATTTCCAACACATTCTGCTTCTCTCTGGTCGATAGGCACTTGCACATTTTGACGTCAAATGACACCGTCTCCGATCACTTGCATCAGTGTGACTTCCTCGCTAGGATTATCCAATCAGTGAGCAGTGCCATGATCGCGTCACACTAGGTGTAACGCCATTGGTTGAGTGCGACATTTCAGGGTGGATAGTGAATGGTCGTCCCGAACATCGGTCAACGACCAAGTGAGTACGTATCAGGAACTGCGACATATTGGGGGGTGCGACATCGCATAGTTAGAAACTACGTTATTAGACATACGATTGGTTTGGGTTTTCGAAAAAGTGAGAAGATATTGGAAAATGCGACTTCTCAGGGGTACGACATAGCAGGAGATTGACTGTAGATCTAGAAGTAAACAATCGATTGTCGGGTTATTTTTTTGTTTTTTTTTTGGAGGTGAAAAAATGGTGAACTACGTGGCTGTCTCGACAAAATGAGAAATAGAATTGCATGTAGGTTGCTTTTACCGGATAACCTATTCGAGAACGTTCCCTACTGCGTTTCCCGTAGAAGTAAATAAATACGCAACCGGTGAATTGAGTAGTTCTTCTATTTCCAGTATGTAAATATAAATGTAGCTGGTTCACAGACGGGTGGGCAAGCAGTGCGTCAACACGCGTGAAGGCAGGCTAAAACTGGCGCAAGCGTTACCACAAGGAGAATGTCGTCATGTTAGACGGTGAGCGAACCAATCAATGAGGACAGGTCAATACTGAGATCTGATTCGCTGAGGTGGATCGACCTTGAAATAGAGTGAGTCCGCATGACGTGCGTGCGGTGGCAGGCGGCAACGATCAACCATGTGATGTGTGGTAAACGTGCCATTCGACTGCAGGCTGCAACAGCATTCATTTCTGATTCAATCCGATCCTCGTATCACCGTGTGACAGCCTAGGATTCAAACGAAATCTATGCCGACGGAAAACGGAGTATGGATTGCACAATCAAAATCATTCGACTTGTTTCTCAGGGAGTGTAAATTTCGAATATCAGCTGTTTCCGAAACTAATGACTTGCGACAAGTCCTGCTATTTACAGCGTCGAACCGGCCTGGAATAACCCGATCGGAGAAGGAGTAAGAGGAACGCTGATCCTTTCGCTTCGAGTACCGAGGTGTTTGAGGATTTCACTCACAACGGCATGGGATGGGGATGTACAGACCGAACTATTCACTCACAGCCGACAAGCATCTTATGCTGCCAAAAAGGGGGACCCGAACCAATAATCCAGTCAGGTTGTATTTGGCAAACAGCGTTGGCGATTGCCGTGCTAGTCAGATCCTGCTCAGGCCGAAAGAACTCACCTTGAAGCAGGGTGTACTAGTGTTATCGTTCCGAACTTCCAGTGCCTGGCCGAAGAGAGCTATTCACCCGACTAACGACAGGGGTAGATAAGATTACACAGAACGACACATCTAGTATGCACCAATCGTTTAATAATTTCGTGATTATCTCTTCACCAGTTATCGCCAGCCTGAGAGTCTGTTTACCTCTTCCATGGTTACAATAATAGACCGTTTAATCTACCCGCGGATATTGGAGAAATCCAACAACAGCATCTTCGTTGTGGGCGCAAACTACTCACACATGTGAGTAGTACTTCACAACACTAGGAGAAAAATTGAGGGCATGCATCACCTCGGGATACCATGATAACGTTCGTGTTATGCGCTACCACGTCAGAGTATGTATCTGTCATAATAACCGACAGATAATCAAAGTAACATATGGAAAAATACAGTGCTTAGAGCAATTATGGTGTTGTAGTCCGTTTTGTAGTTTTGTAACATTCGACTTCGAAATAGGTCACTTTAGATTGGACAAGCAACAATATTTGGCTTTCAGAGAGAGAGAGAGAATAAACCCTGTTTCTTTTCGGCCGTTAGCCCGAACTCCATCCGAGTTTTCACAATTATATCCGAGCTTGAGGAAGTTTCGCGATTATATTTACTTTCCAATTAACCGTCAACTCAATCGCTATGGAAGATAGCTCGACTGAGTCCGTGTATTCACCCCAATAGGGGGCAGAACTGAAAAAAGTACAATTATCGATCGCTTCATGTCCACTAATGTAATGTCCAATGATAACTATTGATTATAGTCATATATCATTAGGTCAAACTTATATTACTGTGGGGTTTGAGCGGACTAACATGATTAACATCGTCATGTGAAATTGCCTATGGTTCCCTAGGAGGTCTTGTGTTCGAATTCCATCATTCCCGCGTAACTTTTACATTCCATTGTGTTTCAGGATAGCACTTTCCATGGCCACCTCTCCCTTTCCTTAAATGGATTTTACAGTTGTCTGTCCAATAAAACAAGAACTAAACAGACTGTATTAGATTGGAAACAAAAGCTAGCAAAGTCAAAGTCCAAGTCGAAGTTTTCTAATGGGTGATTTAAGAAAGCTGAAGCTTATCATGTCCCATAGGATTTTTACAGAATATTTTGAATAAATTCAAAAAGAGAAAATAATCATAACAATCAGTATTTAGTCGGTCTAAATAATACCAATCAAAGGTGTGTACTGATATGGAACCATGGAGACGTCCCTCTATTACACCATCTACTTACTTGCACACTAGTCCATCAAAATAAAAATGGATATTTTCTGTATGCCAGAAGATGAAATCCTTTGCATTACTTATCGCAATAGGCAAAATAACGTGTTTTCTTTAACATATTCCGCTTTAAAGTTCATCGGTAGTTACACGGAGTGTGATTTCGGCAACGTGTTATGTACTATCTATGTGATACGAGCCTGTATTCTCCCACTGCCAACTACTGCAACCCAGAAAAATCCATGGGAGGAAATACGAAAAAGTCAAATGACGCATACCACGGAGCCACACGTTACAGTTTTTAAACAACGGTAATGGATCAAGCTTCACGGGTGACGCCAGCAAAACGCATAAGTGTCACAGCTTCTGGACTACATACCATAGGCCGATTGTAACAACCAATCAGAATCCGTGCTGTCCAGAAGGAAGCAATAGGACTCCAAAAATACTAGCACGCGATTGGCAGAGGCTTGGATGACCAATGAATTTGTTTTGTACATATTATTTGACCCTCCTGATTTTTTTCAATAAACGAACTGCTACTCCTATGGCCTTTTCAACTGGTCTCGGTTACGTGGGATACTGTTGTGCAAGTACCAGTGTGATTCAGTGCTTACGTGGCGTCCGCGATTCATGCATGATTCGTATTTCGTGATCAGTGTGTAGTACAACTATTACAACGAACTAAATCGAATTATCTACTCTTTTTTTTCTAAAATTCGCCCCCAGTTTTGCCGAATCATTCTCTGCTGTCAACATCAAATTACCTCCGGAGCTAGCCCAGTTGTCTTCAGAAATATCAACCCACGTGAAACGAAGACACACGTGCAAGTCAATCTAAAATCGCCCAAAATTTACTCTGCAAGCATAAATCTAGTCTGTCTACTTTTGTAAATTCCCTCCTTGGTTCTTGGAACAATTAAGATCGCAATTCACCATGGCAACCCATGATTGTAATAATCTCAATGTAACTTCTCCTAGACCAAACTGTAAGCAGAAAAAAAAAATAATTGAACGAAAATCTGGCAATTTAACCAACTCACCGAAATTTCCTCAACCGCTGTTTTATCTCAATCGACAAACAAGAAACCAGGACGCTCTTTGATATTAATACAAGTTGGACCGAGAGGGATATCGGTCGAACAGTAAAGTTTAGTATCAGATCAGTCCCATGGCAACTAAACCCCCTCCTTCCCTCCACCTGATTGGTTTTATCCGCTTATCAGCATTTTATTCCTTACTGGTATACTTTGACTCACCTCTGGCTAGGGTTCCCTTCGTCGGTGTGGGCTACGGCGAAGTATGCCCTGCCCCAAAGTTTTAGGTACCTATTTGGAGAACCGTCTTTCTCAACTGTCTATTTCCTCTTCTCACACCCATACCTTGAGAGATGCATCCTGTTTGTGCCAACCATGGGATATCACTCAGTGTTCAACTAATGAGGCCAACCACTCAGAGGTTATCAGATTTTTGAAACCAAAATCTATTTTCCATTTAGCCGCATTTAATGTCCGCACACACTACCAGATTGGTCAACAAGCTGCCTCAGCTAGAAATCTTCAAACCTTCCATTTAGATGTATGCTATGCCTCCGAAACACGTATACAAGACCCTACCTCAACGATCTTGCG